TTTTTACTACTGGTTCTGTGGGCGTGGCTAAGTGGGCGTGGCCACGTGAGTGGGTGGGTGTGGCTTCTTTTTTGCAGCTAACCGCCCCCCGCGCTCCGTTTTTTGCCTCCTGGAGGAAGCACTAGGACAGCAAATGGGATCCCAGCACAGCTGATTGTCGGAACAGCTGATCGTTGGGAGGGGAAAAAAAAAAGAAATATCCGTTCAGCCAAACCGGTAGCTGTTTTTTTTACTACCGGTTCAGCCGAACAGTAGCATTTTTTTACTACCGGTTTGCCCAAACTGGGCCGAACCAGTAGAATATCACCACTGCCCCTGACTCTGAAGCAGGGGTCTCCAATCTTGGCCACTTTTAAGATTTGTGGACTTCAACTCCCAGAATTCCCGAGCCAGGTCTCCAACCTGGGCCACTTTTAAGATCTGTGGAATTCTGGGAGTTGAAGTCCCCAAGCCTTAAAGCGGCCAAGACTGGAGACCATTGGGGAACATTAGGGTATCCCCTTTGGGCCTTTGGGGTTCACGTACAGAGGGACCCGGAGGGATGAAACGAAATGCGAATGAGAAAGATTAAAATATATATATATCTTTTCAAATTACTTCAAATAATTGAATCTTGTTGACTTGACGGGTTGGCTCAGTCCGGACCCAGCCGGTCCGTGGTTTAGGGCGAGTGCTTTGAGGGGGGTTGATGAAGCCAAATGAAATCCCCACCCCCAATTCCCTCAGAATCTTTTCTCCCGGGGGAATTTGGGGGTGGCGGTTCCTTTTTCTTCATCAACTCACCCTCCCCACGCACACACGTGGGCCAACCTGCCACAGGCCAAGTCAACAACTATTTAAAATCATTTACACCAGGGGCTTTGCTGACTGGGGAATTCTGGGAGTTGAAGTCCACCATAGCCACGTTTGGAGACCTCCGATTTCATATTTTGATTTTTTTTCTTGTCCCCCTTTCGTTTCATCCCTCCTTTGGCATCCTTTCTTTAATGCTTCTCTTCGGTATAACTCTTGTCCCCAGGCGAGTAGCCCTCAATCCGGGGGGGGGGGGGGAGAATGAAGCCCCCAAAATCCTGCTGCCAGGACTGGCTTTGACCCCCCTGGGACCCCACTCGGCCGGTTCAGCCGGTTTGGCCGCAGGGAAGGAAGGCAGACCGGCCGGCCGACTGACTCAGTCTGGCCAGTTCCTGCTGGAAAAGGCCGTGAGTTTGTGTGTGTGTGTGTGTGTGTGTGTGAGAAAGACTCCCCAAACCCGATTCCCTCCCTTCTCAGTGAAGGTTTTGAGTTTGAAAACTGATCAGGCTTCAAAAGGAACCAAATAAAATAATTAACTGGCATTCCTCGACTTACAACCGCCATCAAAACCCCAAATTGTTGTTGATAAGCCAGGCAGTTGTTAAGTGAACTTTGCCCCATTTTACGACCTTTCCTGCCATACTCGTTAAGTGAATCCCTGCAGTCGTTAAGTGAGTCAGATGGTCGTTAAATGAACCTGGCTTCCCTGTTTTATTTGTGCTTGTCAGAAGGCCGCAAAGGGGGACCCGAGACCAGTTGCAAATTATGTCTGAATTCGGATCATGTGATCACGGGGAACGCTGCAACGGTCGCAAGTGTGAAAAACAGCCAGCGGTCACTTTTCTCAGTGCGTTGTAATTTTCATCGGTCACTAAATGAAACATTGTAAAGGGCTCCAGGGTTGCTGCCCAGAGGAGACCAGGGTGGCTGTGCGCCAAGATGCTTGCCTGCCCTCCGTTCAGAAGTCCTCGACTTACAACAGTTCACTTAGTGACTGTCCGAAGTTACAACGGCCCTGAAAAAAGCGACTTATGACCCTTTTTCACACATATGACCGTTGCATTGCAGCCTCCCCACGGTCGTATGATCAAAATTCAGACACCTGGCCACTGACTCATACTTATGACGGTCCCAGGGAGGACGGACGGTGTCCCGGGGGGGGAGGGTCACGTGATCCCCTTTTGTAGCCTTCTGATGATCAAAGTCCACCGGGGAAGCCGGATTCACTCAACGACCAGGTGACCAACTTATCCCCTGAGGTGATTCATTTAACAACGGTGGCAAGGCAGGCCACAGAACAGGGCAAAACTCACTGAAGAAACGTCTCGCTTAGCAACGTTGGTTCGCTTTGCGGCCATTAGTTGAGGCCTGCCTGGGCAGCTGCCCAGCCAAGCCCCTTCCCGCGACCCCGCAACCCGCGTGACGGCCGCACTCACCTGCCGCCGGGGCCCCTGGCCAAGAGGGCCCAGCCGGGGGCTCCCTGCTCCGCCGAGGCCAGCAGGCCCACCCAGTGGGAGAACTCTTGGTGCCGGTAGTGGACAATGCAGGTGCTGACCATGACGGCCACGGAGATGTCAATGGCCATGACCTGCAGGGAGGGGGAGGGGGGGAGAGAGAGGCTCAGAGGGAGGGGCAGAGACTGGGGGGGGGAGGCGACCCCAGGTACCCCACGGGGGCTCACCTGCAGGCTGGCCTTCAGCAGGTTGAGGCACACGATGCGTTGGCGGCTTTGCGACAGCAGCAGCCCGTCTGGGGAGGCAGGAAGATGGCGGCTGAGCTGGCTCCTCCCCTTCCGCGGGATCACCTGAGGGTGCCCTTTCCCAGCCTCCCCTTCCCCACGGCCACTATTCAGGGCAGTATATTATTTACTAAGTAAATAATTATTAACTTATTATATTTGTATTAATATTCTATATATATATATATATATGTGATAAAATATAATATATACTATATTAAAATTATAAGTAATAATTATTATAAACAATTATTTACTCAAATTATCTACTAAGACTTATTACTATTACTCTTCTCATCTCCTCCCACTTACGACTATAACCTTGTTGCTTGTATCTCTACAATTTATATTGTTGTATTGAGTTTCCTAGTATGATTTGATTGCTTATTTAGTAACCTATGACTATCACAAAGTGTTGTACCTTATGATTCTTGATGAATGTATTTTATTTTATTTTATTTTTCCTTTGTACACTGAGAGGTTATGAACCAAAGACAAATTCCTTGTGTGTCCAATCACACTTGGCCAATAAAGAATTCTATTCTGTTCTGTTCTATTCTACTTACCCTATTTTCTATTTTCTATTCTATTCTATTCTTATTCCATTGTCTATTCTATATTCCATATTCCATATTCCATATTCCATTCTATTCTATTCTATTCTATTCCATTCTATTCCATTCCATTCCATTCCATTGTCTATTCTATTCTATATTCTATATTCTATATTCTATATTCTATTCTAATTCGATTCCATTCCATTGTCTATTCTATGCTATATTCTATATTCTATTCTAATTCGATTCGATTCCATTCCATTCCATTGTCTATTCTATTCTATATTCTATATTCTATATTCTATATTCTATATTCTATATTCTATATTCTATTCTAATTCGATTCCATTCCATTGTCTATTCTATTCTATATTCTATATTCTATTCTAATTCGATTCCATTCCATTCCATTCCATTCCATTGTCTATTCTATTCTATATTCTATATTCTATATTCTATATTCTATGTTCTATTCTAATTCCATTCCATTCCATTCCATTGTCTATTCTATTCTAAGGGGGGATTTGAGGGGCTCCCTCCATCCCGAAGGTCCCTGAGTCAAAGGGGCTCCTGCCCACCACTGCCTCCCACCCAGGGACATCCCCCCCCCAATAGGACTATAGGCACTCCTTTCATTTGGTGACCGTTCAAAGTTGCAACCGCACTGAAAAAAGTGACTTGTGGCCGCTTCTCGCACTTATGACCGTTGGAACACCTCCCCGGAAACCCCCTCCCCCCCCCAGACCTGCCTTCCAGCACCAGCTCGAGGCTCATCTGGGGCAGGTCGCAGGTGGGGGTGAAGCTCCGCAGGGGGATTTGCTCCTCGTCGCACTGGTGGGCGAAGCGCAGCAGCTTCAGGGTCCAGGTGAGGTGCCTGGAGAAGGGGGGGTGGGGGTGGGGGGGGAGGGGGGGCGAGACGGAAGCTGCCTCCAACTGAGTCCGGCACCTTCTGGCAGCCTTCCCCAACCCGGGGCCCTCCAAGCCCACTTGTCTGAAAGGGTAGGAAGGGTATGGGGTCGGACTAGATGACCTCCAAGGTCCCATCCCACTCTGTGGTTCTGTGGTTCTTGTGGGGGTGGTGGTGTTGCTCTTGGCTGCAGGGGTGCCTGCACCTGGGGTTCCCCCCTCTTGCAGCCAGGGGAGAAGGGGTGGGGGAAGGGCAAAGGCCAGGCTTGCAGAGAGGACCCCCCCCCTCAGCCGCCGCCCCCCCCCTTACCTCTTCTGGCTGTTCATGGAGAGGACCAGGCTGGTGGTCTCCAGGTCCACCTTCAGCCGTGAGGGCAGGTACTTCAGGCCGGCCAGGCCCAGGGGGGGCGGTGGATCCAGCGTGAGATCCTTTGGGGAATCTGGGGGGGGGGGGGGG